AGATACATTGCACTGGGCCACTCGCATTATGGAAGAGATCGTCCTTTTTTCTCATTGAATAGATACTTATTCTGGAGGTGAATTTCCTTCCCTTTTTGCATTGCTTCTATTAAAGCCACTCTCTATGCACTTAGAAAATGCTTTTGTCACCATCATGCTATCCACACAATATTACTTTCAATCAAGAAATTCATTTTGGAGCAAATAAAGGGAGCAATGGGTTCATGCTCATAGAATTCACTGGCCTTATTATGTTGTCCATTATCCTGTAGTAGCAGGCCTTGATAGGATAATAAAATGACCTTTTTATTTTCTTCTTACAAAAAAGTTTTAACCATATAAAACTGTATTATTGAGTGGCCTTAAGCACATTCAAAATATTGTGCAACCATCCCCACTATCTAGTTCTAGAACTTTTTCATCGTCTCATTTCATCATACCCATTAAGCAGTCACTCCCCATTCCTTCCTCTCCCCAGACCCTGGCAGCCACTAATCAGAATTCTGTCTCTTTGATTTGCCTATTTTGGTATTTCAAATAAGTACAATCACACAATATGTGACCTTCTATGTCTGGTTTCTTTCACTTGGCATTCATTTCAAGGTTCTTCATTGAATGATGAGGTTCAGCACTGGGATGGCCTTTTGAAGACTCAATGGTCACACCATTTGAAAGCAACACCTTGTGCAGCTTGCGTAATGTTCTTTAGTTTTTAACATATAACCTAAATCTAAATATATACCCATGGACCAAAATCAAGGGGTGGGACTGGGAGTGAATCCTCTCACTTTTACCTCTACCAAGTCACATGCAGTGTTTTGTTTTCCATTCGTGCAACTTCGGGCTTTCTCGTGCAGTTCTCCAAGAAGAATGCTTCCAAAGCAAAATTTCAATAAAAGTGAAGTAGAGACTGCTACTAATCCATTTTGGCGTCCTTGTGCTATTTAACCAACATGCAAAAAAGAGTGATTACTCTCTTGCCTGGAGTGATTGATTCTGACTAGTAAGTAGAATTTGAGTTGCTACTAAAAAAGGGAGAAGAAAGGAATATGCCCAGAGTGCAGGGGATTATGTGGGGGTGCCTGTTAGTACTTAGTAGCCCTATGGTCTGCTGTATAAGTTAACAGAAAACTACAGCAACCCAAGAGAAGTAGAACCTCTAATAGCCCGGGTCCTTCAGGAATGCAGGTTTGAGTCTTCTCACAAGGCAAGGAACTAATGCCAGCTGAATGCTTGCTGAAGAAGGATATGGAACAGGTAATGGAGGACAAAGAAAGTAGTTATGAATAGTAGTTATAACCATGTTACCAGTTGTAGATGTAAGGTCTATATGAAAGATGAGCATTTTTCTTAATTTTCTCCATATGAATATATTTGTGTATATATTAACCAATTATTTTCCAAGTCCCCTCTCTCATCCCCTTAAGATGTGTTATATCTTAGTATTTAAGCTACTGGATATGAAAGGGATATTATTACTCATCAAGGGGAATGAACATTACTGAATGACCCTGTCCTTCTTTTGGAAGGGAGAAAGTTGTGTTGGGTTATATGAGAGAGAGTTGCATTATATGGGTGGAAGCATAGTTTTGCTATGGTCTTTTATTTCAAAATTAATGATTAAAAGAAAAATTGCCTCGTTGTCAAGTTGACAAGAGTTGGACTAGGGTGGTGTCATTTAGCTAAGCTGGAACTACATTTCCTAGAATTTCTTTGGAGTCCATGCAAAATCCCATTACATTATTATGATTATGCATATGATCATGGATCTGCTGACTCACCTCATTGCAAGGGGCATGGATAGCACCAGCAGCTCCTTTAGTTTCTCTGCTTCCTGGAGACACATGTGTAGCTCATTGGTTAAGGGCACACACTACTTCAGAGCACCTTTCATTGGCATTAGATACAGTAAGAAAAAGACATGGGTTCCAGTTTTTCCTCATAGGTTCCTTTTAATTTAATTGAATACATTCTAGAAATGAATTTCCTTTCCTGTTTGAAATGCTTCTATCAAATACACCATCTATGGACTGACAAAAACCTTTAATCACTATCATGATATTCAATACAGAATTACTTTGTGGAAGCTTCCATTTGTCCAAGCTACCTTCTAGTTTGCATTCACCTTTCCATCCCATATGCCTCTCCTGCTGACACAGTGACTTTGAGCCTACTACTATACACTGCAGTCCACAGACCACTTTACCATTTCCCTTTGTGGCCCTGTTTAGTGACTCTTCTGTGATCCTATAATTATCCCTTCCTGATCTTTGTTTCTGCAGCTTCTTTTAATTGGGTAAAGTCTAATTGCTGTAATAAATCATTTCTTCTCTATCAATCATAATGGTGCTACTTATTTTGACCAACCCTTAAAAAATAGGTATTTTTTTCAACACAATTTTCCTGACCAACCCTAACTATATTTTTTCATATAACCTTAGAATCTGCTTTTCTAGTTAAAAAATGTTTATTTATTCATGTCATGTTAATTGTGAAGATTAATTTACAGTGTTGTCTTTCTATTTTAAAAAGGACTTTTGTTCTAAATATCCAAGTTCACTTTTATAACTTGTTTACATAAAGGTTCCTCTAGATGAACCTTGCAGAATTTTCATTTATTCTTATTTTGCCTGTGTTTTTGTTGTTGTAAGTGAAGGGATTTCTTCATTATTTTAAGTTTTAAAGTTTGTTTCCTACAATGGTTAACTTTGTCAGTTTGTTTAGGCTGTGATGTCCATTTGTTTGGTCAAACATTACACTAGATGTTGCTGTGAAGGTGCTTATGGGTATGACTAATATATCAGTTTTAAATAAAGCTGATTATTCTTCATAATATGGGTGGATATCATCTAATCAGCTGAAGGCCCTAAGAGCAGATTCAGGTTTCCTGAGGAAGGAGCAATTCTGCCTCAATACTACAACATATAAACTCTGCCTGAGTTTTCAGTCTGCTCTCCTGCCTTGCAGATTTCACCCTCAAGTCTTCAACATCATCTTTACCTAAATTTTCAGACTGCCAGTCACACGAGCCAATTCCTGTTGTTACTTTGGAGAACCAGACTTATACATGTATAAATAAAGGACACTGAAAAATGTTGAAGTTCTAGACTTGAGATTTTGCACAGTGTGATGGCTCTGAAACCACACAAACCAGAGAGTTCAGTTGGACAAATGACTTAACATCTTGGAAATTAATTCCTCCTCTCTGTAGAATAGGGATGTGGCTATTGTGTAGGGTTGTTAAACATTGTAGAATACCTGTCATGGCTCACAGTAGGACTGTTGTAATTGTTAGTTACCCTCTCTCCTGAAAGGAGATGCACCGTTTAGTTATATACTTAGTAACTTGATTTTATTAAATGATTTAACCAAACTGAGTTTCTTAGATATTATGAAATATGAGATAGTTACTTGGCATAAACTGTCTGCTATCAAACCAATGCCACCTTATTTGAGTTTAGTTCTGCCACTTATCTGTGTAAGATCTAGGGCAAGTTACAAGTTTCCCTGAGCCCAGTTTCAATTTGGATAGTATTACCTCATGGGGTTTTTGTCAGAAGTAAACAGGAGAAGTGTGCAGCTTAATCTCAAGCATACAGTAGAAGCTAAATACATCTACTAGATATTATGGGAGTAACTGGAGTTTCAAAGGTGAATTGAGTCAGTTGCTGCAGTTAAGAGAAGCTTACCTTCTAGTGAAGATAAAAGTCCAAGAAAGGAGGAAGAAACCACAGCCAACGTTTGTTTTTATTCTTAATAAGTCAGGTAGAAAAACACCCATGCAGGGGGCAGAAAGTTTTAAGTGATATAAAAGAAGCACATGCCATGAAAAGACGATAAAGGTATTGTAGACTTTCATTGATTTATTGGATTGTTTGCATTGGATATCTGATCTCATTAGCAGAGGTTATGCAGCACTTTCAAAGGCCTACCGCCTTGCCAGCGGCTAGTCATAGCGAATAAATGGAAGGGTGGGTGCCCTGAAATCAGAGCCAAATCAATTTTGTCAGCAGGGAAGAGCACGTTGAAGCTGATGTTCCCGGGCTGGTATTCATAAGAAACAATGGGTTGCAGCTAAAAAGCTTTGACGGTTTGGGGAGAAATGTGGCAAAACGAACTAGTACATGACATATCCAGATTACAAAACATATCAAAAGCTCTTTACTTTTTCCTCCTTTCTTAAAAGGTCAATAAACAAAAACATTTATGCTAGAAAGGCATGCAGCCTTTTTTCTTTTCTCAGTATCATGTTTATTTTTTTTTTCCTCGTTCCCTCCCCCCGCCCGCCTAATGCATACTCTTACTTCTTTCTCAGGCTCGATTTTTCCCTTCTCCAACCTCCCAGGCCCCTTCACACTCCCCGTTCCGGGCTTCCCTCCCCGCCCATCTGCCCGGACCGCCGCGGGGCCGCACCTGCCGGTGGAGCGCCCGCTCCCCGCCCCGCCGAGGGACTAGCAGTGACGTAGCGGGGAGGACAGGACCGCGCGGCCCGCTGACGTCACTGCCGCAGCGGTTCTGAGCGAAGCCCAAGAATAGGCATTCAAGGAGGGCAAGGCAGCGGTGACCCTCGCGGTCAGGGCAGAACGATGCCAGCGCGCCGCGTGCTTTGGGTTTCTGGGTTCCGAAGGCCGAAATCGCGCAGCTGGCGCAGGCTGGGCGCACCCCACCCCCTCAGAGCGTTTGAACACTAGTTAGCGATCACGGGAATGTCCCCAAACGGGGCCTCGTGCGCACGCGCCTTGGGTTGGGGGGCAGAGCGGGGAGAGCGGTTGGGGCCGGGGGCTGCGAGATGAGGTTGCTGTGGGAGGACGGTGGTGTGTGGCGGTAGAGGACTGTGACAGAGCAGCTGGAGGCGAAACAGGAAGGAGGCAGCCCACTCCCTCCGCCGCCAGCCCGTCTCCCTGGGCGCTGCGGCGGCGCGGGGCGCGGGCCTGCGGCGCGGCGTCGTGACGTCACGGTGGCGGCGGCCCTGGTTGGCGCAGGGTCCGCGGCTGCAAAGTGTGAATTACGCCGGGCTAGCGCCGGCTGCGGAGTGAAGTCAGGCTCCGGGGGAGGGGAGGGGCCGGCCGGCTGCGGCGACCCGAGCTGGTCACTGGTCTGGAAATCCCGCGCGCCTTGGGTCTCGCCGTTGGCTCCAGCCGTCTTTTCCAGCACTGTTTGCCTGTCCGTGTTCCCCACCGGCTCTGCCGTCCCCAGACCCGCTTCTCCTGGCCGAGGAGCCCTGGGGCGGCGGGGTTCCCCTGCGACTCCGCCTGTGCTGCTCCCGCTTGCACCCCGGAGCTGGGCGCGCGCGGGTCCTCGTAACTAGCCGCGGCCGCCGCTGCTCCTTCCCGCCTGCAGCCGAGGCGGCGTGGTGAGGTGGGGGACGCGTGAGCGCGGCTTCCCGGCCCGGGGTCGGCGCCCGCCAGCCCTGCCCCCGCTTCGGCCCGGCGCCCCCGAGCCGCGGCCCCCTCCCAGTGCAGGGGCCGGCGGCCGCGGCAGGGCGGGCGCCGCGCGGGGGCAGGGCGGGTGTATTCAATGGAAGTATGCTACCAGCTGCCGGTGCTGCCCCTGGACAGGCCGGTCCCCCAGCACGTCCTCAGTCGCCGAGGAGCTATCAGCTTCAGCTCCAGCTCCGCTCTCTTCGGCTGCCCCAATCCCCGACAACTCTCGCAGGTAATTGCCGCCGTCCGGGCCCACACTTGGGGGCTTCTTTCTTTTTGTTTCCCTCTTTCCACCAACCTACCGCGACACCTCCCGTCCATGAAGTTCACCCCAGACGCAGCATTGTTCATTGTTTTTGGCATTGCTAGGCTGTCCCCTCGATTCAAGAGCCCTTCCTTTTATCCTCGGGTCTGTGCACACTCAATCTCCCGGCCTCCTCACACCTCCGCCTAGGTGGACTGTGGGAGCCCTTCAAACTGCACCCCTCGGTGTTCCCCGGTTGAAGCTCCAGCAGAGACCCTTCCTTCTCGTTGTCTCCGTCTGCAAGTTGGGCCTCTTCTACTTAGTTATGGCCCCGGGCACACCTGCTGCCCTACAGTCCCCCCATTAACCCACAAACACACACCTGTGCGGGGTTCGCGCTTAGCCACCCCCAGCTCCTGCGCACCCCGCGGTGCTGGGTTGGTCCTGCGGTTGTCCAAACAATAGGCCGAGATGCCCTGTTGCTGTTCTCCGCGATCCTCTTTCTGTGAATGGACCGTGCATGAGAGAAACAGGAATCAGGAGTGCTTCCCAGAAGCTTCAGTTTTCGCAAACTTGATAGCCAGACCACGTTTGTTTTTAATTTGATAAGGAGGTTTTAGGAAAGAAAACTCCTGATGAGCATTTACAGGAAGACTTTGTTTTGAGTGGTCCAATACCAGTTGCTCCCGAGAATTTCTCTTTTTTCTATGATGATGCTGTTGGCTCAACTCAGTTCTGCTATTTTGATTGCCACATTCTAAATAGGGAGACCAAAAGAATTTTTTATTTACATCTGAATTGAGTACCCTCAATTTCTGTTGCCAGAATGTTACAAATTCATCATCACTTTTTTATTCAAATACATATATTTTTCCTATTGTTATTATTATCCTTTATTGGAGTGTGTTTTCTTTCATTATGTTGTAAATATCTTGAGCGGAATCTTTTTTTTAAGCAGGTAGTGTGGAATAGCATGTGGTAGAGATTTTACTTAATGATAGGCGTGTCCAGTAAGTATTTGTCATTTACTTCTTTACCTAAATTGTTTGTAGAGGGAACAGGATCTTTATTTGGGTTTCTTACTGAATTGTGGCTGTGCTGATGAGGTCAGCCAGACTCCTAAAAATTACTATAACATTAAGTAACATTTTAAATAGTATTATTGCATTGTTATTTTGAAAGTTTAGTATGTGATCTGACTTTCTAGTACTGCTTTAAAGCATTTCAGGTTCCAGATTAATGTTGAGACAGTGCATTGCTGAAAATGGTTTTTGATGGTAGTGATTAAAGGTTTTCAATGGTAGAACTTTTTTCACCTCTAAATATTATTTTACTTTTTCATATCAGCAGGCATATGACTTCTGATTCAGTCTAAATAATAAAGTCAATCATTAATCATTTATAAAGTTATATGAATAAAGTTCCTTGTGCTCCCTAAGGAGAAAATGAATGAGAAGGGAGACTCCTAGGGAATTAAACAAGTAAGGCTGATGATGCCAGGGGTTTTACCTGATGTCCTAATTAATCCACAGGGTCCAATTTGAAGCCCCAGTCCTTGACTCATTTCCTAGCCTTAGGTTTAAATGGGTAATGGAATTTTAAAATTATGATTGTGACATGTAAAGCAAATATTGTGGAGTCACACCATATTTTCTAAGACTTGAAACTTTAAAAAATTCCTATGCCTCAAAGAATAAAGGAACTTCTGAAAATGTGGACAGAAATTTTCCTGAACTAACACTTTTTTTCTGAATAACATTGCTCAATATTGAAATGACTGTAAATTCACCAGGGTGCTGAGATGGGTATATTTATTATTATCGAGACTGTGTTTCATTTAATACTAAAGCATATGTTAGTAGTGATTTCCTTAGGGATACATGGGAATTTGTAGTAGGAGAAAAAAAGTAGAAAATCTTGGAATCCTATTCAGAGCTCTATAAATTATTTTTTTCTTTACCCTTGAATTTTCATCTTTGGTTCCTGAGTCTAAAGCTGTAGAAATTATATAAAAAGTTTAGGTGGTTTTGTAGTTTTGTTTAAAAGATTAAAAAAAATATATATATATAGCATTAAATAGAAGTTTTTTTTATTAGAGTTTTTCTCTTTTAAAATATGTTCAAAGGTAACAATCTGTTCAGTTCTTAATTTTACCACAGTATTAGAGCCTGGCTCATAGTAGGTACTTAGAAGTATTTGTTGAATGAATCAAATATGAAATTTGAAGTTTTAAATATGAAAACTTTAAAAGGATTTTTATCAAGAGATCGTAGAAACTCATTGATCCAAATTTTGGTTTGAAACTTAAAACTTAAGATTTTAACAGATTCAGAAAATAAGCAGATGACTTTGAGCAACAAAAATAGATTTGGCGATCTTCTCAAAGCCTGTGTCTTTTAGGCAAAATTTTGACAAACTTTGTTTCCCAGGTAACAAATTGGGAGGGGAGTGGAATATTGCTAGAGTTAGGTCACCCTGTGAGTAGTAAAGGTTGACAGCTAACTAACACACCAAAAGCCAGGCATCCAATGTAAACCTCTTCAAAGCAAGCAACTTTTAAAAAGGTACCCTGGGGACATAAAGTTTAGGAGATTTAATGTTGTACAACACAATAATTATTAATCAAAATGATTTTTAAATTACTAGAATCTAGTTTCAAAGTTGTAAGATTTTTTTTTAAATGCCAAACAATTTTTAAGCATTGGTGATTAAATAGTTATGTATGCGTTATCTGGAAAATTCTTTTATGTGGAGCACCAACTTTCCCAAGAATACCAAGTAAGTGGGGCATTAACCGTTTGTTTTGAACAGGTGATATATTTCTATATCAAATGGTTAATGTGAGAATTTTTTTTAAGTATTTGAAAAATAAGGATAACCTTGTTTTTGCCATTGCAGGATATCTATTGTTGATAGCTAAGTTGAAAGAATTATCCTGTAGAATAAAGTTTTATTTGGAAAAAAATCTTATGAGAGCAAAAATTGTCTTGTTCATCACTGCATTTACAGTGCTTTGCATAGGTAGGTGCTCAATAAGTGTGGAATGAGTTAGTGTATTTATGTACATCAAAGTGCTGCACCTGGGATTACTTCAGTCAGCATTTCAGTACAGTGGAAACAAACTTTATTTGGGTTAGAAATTTGAGTTTTAATTTTTTAATAATAAATACAATGGTATATCTTATTAATTGAACAAAATATTGGGATCTAACATGTAAAAATGTTTTTATACCAAAAACTAAATTTGAGTTTTAATTTAGCATGTCTTTTTTTTTTAAATAGACTTAATTTTATAGAGCAGTTTTAAGTTTAAAGCACAATTGAGTGGAAAGTACAGAATTTCCCCTAGTACTCTCTGATCCCAAATACAGATCCCCCATCATTAGCGAGACCCAGGACCAGGTTGGTACATTTGTTACTATTGCTAAATCTACATCGACACATCTTTATCATCTGGAGACCATAGTTTACATTAGGACTCCTACTGGTGTCTTTTTTTTTTTTTTTAAATACAGAAACTATTCCTCAAATATTTACTGAACACCTTCTATGAATGAGGCTCCTTGTGTTAGGTGCTGAGAAAATGTAAATAATTAGTTTAAAAAAAATCACTTGTGAGCCTGCTAACTTGCCGGGGTTTTCTTTGATTCATTACCTTTCTTAAACATTTTCAGCTGTAATCATAGCTTACATCTCTTTTTCTCTTCCTCGGAGTTCTTAGTATATGACAAAATACCAAGGTCCTGTGTGTCTCAGGACAGCTCAGAACTCCTTGGATAAAAGTTGGTTCCTTCTTCAAGAAGCTTCTAGGTTTTGTGGTGGGGGAAATGCATAATTAAATATGATGTAAACTTTGTATTGGAGTTACCAAGGTATAGATCTAGGTGAGAATAAAGGAAGACACACCTAATTTTTTTTGATAAATCGGGAAAGCTTTATGTAATAGTTGAGACTTAAACTGAGGCCTGAAAGTTAAGAAGGTGTTTCTAGATAAATGGGTGCGCATAAGTGGAAGAGGAGGAAAATGGCTCAGCTAGCTATGTATATCATCACTATCCAGTAGAGCTTTTTGTAATAATAGAAATGTTCTCGGTATCCAGAATACTAGTCATTGGCCATATGTAGCTAGGTGAAATGTGATTAGATTGACTGAAGAACTGAATTTAATTCAATTTCATTTAATAGTCACGTATTTAGTGACTGCTGTGTTCTCAGAGCAGATGTGTGGTTTTACTTAATGATTGTTAATAGTAATGTCTTGTTGATCTATTAGTAATACACTCTCTAAATGTTGAACATTTGTGTTACTCTCAGGTGTTTGCTGTAGTATGCAAACCTTCATTAATACCTTTATGCATATTTGACAAAGTCTTTAGAATGAAATCACAAGGTTGGGCCAAAAAGTAAGGACTTTTTTGTTTTTTCTCACAAGACTCTACTTTTTATCAACACCAAGATAAATGACCTTTCATCTCCAATCATATTCTAGAAAATAATCATCTCCAATCATCTATTAGAAAAATAATAACATGTTTTTGCATTTCATAGACATTTATGTAAATTTTACTACTTTATTAGATGGGAAATGATAACTTGGGATTTTAATTTGCAATAAGCAAGAGTATACATTTTCTGAAGTGTTTTTTGTGCATTTGTATTTTCTCTTTTGTGAAGTTTCATTTGCATAGCCTGTGCACATTTATGAGGATTGTTATATATTTAAGAGCAGTTTGCAAAGGTGCGTTACTCCAAATTACTGTCACCATACTAATAACCTCTTCACAAATCTATATATAGAAGCCAGTATAGGGCCTATGTGAGCATTCTGTGGGATACCCATTGGGGAATGGTTCTCTTGTTGAGACCTGGCTCCCAACCCATTGCTGAAAAATCTGTTTTATAGGGATCTTGGTTTCATTTTTTTTTTCTATTTTTAGAAATGCTTCATACTTGATTTAAATTTATTATTTCCATATTTTAACATTTAT